AGGTCAGGTTCAGGATTATCTTGAAGTTGGAGGCACGAACTCTGCACCCCCTGCTCTTCGCGTCTCAGGAAACATCGCCACCAAGGAGCTCGTGCCTGTGGCTCCTTAGGCCGACAGGTGTGAGGGGGAGCACAGCCCCTGGAGTCAGCCGCGTGGTCCCGTGGTCTGAAACCTCAGTGCTGCCAGGCACTTAACCTCTCTGTGCCGTTAACCCATCGGGAAGGGGTTGGCCTTGTGGCACAGTGGGTTAGCCGCCTCCTGTAGTGCCGACATCCCACACGAGCCCTGGTCCGAGTCCCGGCTGCTCCACTTCTGATCCAGCTCCCTGCAGAGGAAGATGGCGCATGCGCTTGGGCTCCTGCCACCCTTGGTGAGGGGACCCAGATGGAGTGGTGGCCACTGGGGGATGAACCAGTGGATGGAAGATCTCTCTCTCTCTCTCCCTCTCCCTCTCCCCCTCTTTCTCTCTCTTTCTTTCCCATGAATAAATAAATGTTTTTAGGAAAATCAGTGCGGCAGCAGTAGCGACAGGACCAGGGCACAGCTTGCTGGGGCATGAGCGAGAGCCGGGTGCTGGCTCCCCTGTTTCAGGCCTGCTCCTGCTCGCAGCCCCTCGCGCGTGCTCTCTGGTGGCTGGGGGACTTTGGGCCTGCTGCGCCTGGCTTTGGGCTGCCAGCTGGGGCAATGGGTGGGGTCTATGAGGCTAGGTGAGCCCCCTGCCACCCCCTCACCAGGCATCGACCTCATGGACGTGGGTTCCGACCTCCTGCAGCCGCAAGGAGACGACCCGGCCCGCATCAGCTGGTACCTCCGTGACCTCATCCGCAGGTACCAGGAGACCTTCAGCATCATCGAGAAGGTGACTCTGGGGCACCACGGGCCATCCCTGCCACCTGCCTCTCCGCCGCCAGCCCTGACCCCGCCCCTCCTGTTCCCTTCCAGTGCCCCAAGCCCGTGATCGCCGCCATCCACGGGGGCTGCATTGGCGGGGGTGAGTCTGCAGCCGCCTGCCTCCCACCAGGGTGCGCCTGCTGGGGTAGGGGTGGGGGGCTGCCCCTCCCTGGCCGCGAGCCTCCAGCCTCAGCTCTGTGGCTGTCTCGAGACGCAACCCCACCTCCCAGGAGGAGGGGCTTAGTGCTTGTGGTTGCTCAGTGTCCCCGGCTTCTGCCTGCCAGGTGTGGACCTAGTCACCGCCTGTGACATCCGGTACTGTGCCCAGGATGCTTTCTTCCAGGTGAAGGTAAGGTGCCCCCCCCAGCTCCTTCCCCGGGTGCTGCTGGCAGTTGGGCAGTGAGCGATCGGCCTGGGCAGAGCAGGGACAGTGCCAGCCGCCGGGGGGCAGGGGGGCTGGGGGAGTCAGAATTGAATTTTTCCAAGGAAGCCTCAGCCGGCCGTGGAGGAAGACAAGGGCAAGGGGTCCAGGTGAAGTCATAGTGGGGAAGGGTGTGGCCAAGGGGGCAGGGGATGGTGGGGAGGTGGGTGGCAGAATGGAGCTCCCAGCGCAGTGAAGGCGTTGGCAGGGACGGCCAAGGAGGCTTCCCTCCGGAGATGCAGGGCTCAGGCCCCCCCTCCCAGGAAGGGACCTGCACAACCCACTGCTGTCTGGGCCAGCCTGGTGCAGGCGCCCGACGGCTCTGCCGCCCTTGCCCCCGCAGGAGGTGGACATAGGCTTGGCTGCTGATGTGGGGACGCTGCAGCGGCTGCCCAAGGTCATCGGAAACCAGAGGTCGGCAGGATACGGCCGGGGAGGGAGCCGCAAGGCAAGGGGTCTCCAGGCCCCGGGGTGAGGGCCGTCTGCTCACGCGCCCTGGCCTCTTGCAGCCTGGTCAACGAGCTGGCCTTCACCGCGCGCAAGATGATGGCTGACGAGGCCCTGAGCAGCGGGCTGGTCAGGTAGGGTCAGCACCACCTGGGCGCGCTCCCCGCTCCCCGGGTCCGTGTGACCTCCCTGAGTGCTCATTGCTTTCCTGGGGACGGGGTGGGGGGTGGGGGGTGGCTCTTGCCCGGCTGCCCTCGGGCCGGGTCACTGGGGTCTCCTGCCGGCCGCGGGAGTGGCGTGGAGCCCTGCTCAGCCCTCCTGACCGCCGCTCCCTTCCGTGGCAGCCGTGTGTTCCCGGACAAGGAGGTCATGCTGGACGCGGCCTTCGCCCTGGCGGCCGAGATTTCCAGCAAGAGCCCGGTGGCCGTGCAGAGCAGCAAGATCAACCTGGTCTACTCCCGGGACCACACCGTGGCCGAGAGCCTCAATTACATGGTAAGGCGCTCGCTCCTGCCGCTCACAAGCCGCCCGGCCCGCAGAGCGCCCCCTGAGGGCCCTGCGGCTCGCTCTCTGCGTGCGCCTGCGCCTCTGATTGGGCCGCTGCTGATCCTCCAGGCGACCTGGAACATGAGCATGCTCCAGACCCAGGACATCATGAAGTCCGTCCAGGCCGCGATGGAGAAGAAGGACCTCAAAAACGTCGCCTTCTCCAAGCTCTGAGGGCCTCGCCCTGTGCCTCCCCGCGCGCGGCTCCCCTCCGCTGGGGTGGGGGACGCGCGGGGCCGGGGCGCCTTCCCGCACCTCCCAGGCCGTAGCTGTAAGGTGCTGGCCTCCTCATCCTGGTGATCAATAAAGCCTTGTGAAGAGCCGGTGCCCTGAGCGGGGCGGGGGAGGGGGGGAGGGAGGGGGAGGGGCGGGACCGAAGTCCCGAGAGTCCTCACCCTGCGGCTCAGCCTAGCTGCTCCGGTGCCGCCGCAGTCCGGAAGGGCTCCCCTGCGACCCAGTCTGGAGCCGCTGGCCTCTTTCCTGCAAGTGTTGAGTTTGCGTGTCCATGTATGGTCCCAACCTCCCAGGTTTATGGGTTTTTTGTTGCTGATGATTTTGATCCATTTTTTTTTTTTAAGATTTATTTCGTTTTTATTTGAAAGGCAAAGTTCCAGAGAGGCTGAGGCAGAGAGACAGAAAGGTCTTCCATCTGCTGGTTCACTCCTCAAATAGCTGCAATGGCCGGAGCTGGGCAGATCTGAAGCCAGGAGCCAGGAGATTCTTTCGGGTCTCCCACGCTGGTGCAGGGACCCAAGGACACAGGCCACAGCAGAAAGCTGGATCAGAAATGGAGCAAGGGCTCATGCTATAGTGCAGCAGGTTAAAAGCCCCAGCCTGGGGGCTGATGCTGTGGCGTAGCGAGTAAAGCCCTGGCCTGAATCACTGGCATCCCATATGGGTGCTGGTTCGAGTCCCGGCTGCTCCACTTTCAATCCAGCTCTCTGCTATGCCCTGGGAAAGCAGTAGAAGATGGCCCAAGTCCTTGGGCTCCTGGCTTCAGATCAGCTCAGCTCTGGCTGCTGTGGTCATTTAGGGTGTGAACCAGCAGATGGAAGATCTCTCTCTCTCTCTCTCTCTCTAACTCTTTCAAATAAATAAAATACATATTTTTTAAAAAAAAGTGGAGCAGCTGGAACTCAAACCAGCACCCACATGGAGTGCCAGCAAAGCAGGTGGCGACTTTACCTGCTATGCCACAGCACTGGCCCCCCGGGTTTATGTTAGGGATGAATGTAAAGAGACTACATGTTAATTTAGTGCCTTGTAGGCTGGCGCCGCGGCTCACTAGGCTAATCCTCCTCCTGTGGCGCCAGCACCCCGGGTTCTAGTCCTGGTTGGGGTGCCGGATTCTGTCCCGGTTGCTCCTCTTCCAGTCCAGCTCTCTGCTGTGGCCCGGGAGTGCAGTGGAGGATGGCCCAAGTGCTTGGGCCCTGCACCTGCATGGGAGACCAGGAGGAAGCACCTGGCTCCTGCCTTCGGATCGGCACAGTGTGCCAGCTGTAGCGGCCACTTGGGGGGTGAACCAACGGAAAAAGGAAGACCTTTCTCTCTGTCTCTCTCTCTCTCACTGTCTAACTCTGCCTGTCAAAAAATAAAATAATAAATTTTAAAAAATTTAGTGCCTTCTAAAGAGGGAACTCCAAAAAAGTGCCTGAGAAATGGAATTGAAAGATAAGCTCATTTGTGCACAAATCATTTTCAATCTGTGTGTACAAGTATGCCAAGTCCTGCTCTGAGTATTTATTTTTAAATTCTTATTTATTTATTTATATCTGAAAGGTAGAGCAGCAGAGACAGAGAAAGGCAGATCTTCCATCCACTGGTTTACTCCCCAAATTTCCACAAGAGCCAGGGCTGGGGCAGGTGGAAGCCGGGAGCCCAGAACTCCATCCCAGTCTTCCATGGGGATGGCAAGGACCACGGATTAGCAGGAAACTGGATCAGAAGCCGAGCAGCCAGGACTCCGTCCCAGGCCCTCTAACATGGGATTCAGGTGTCGGAAGCAGCAGTGGCTTAAGACCCACTGCACTGCGATGCCCGCCCACCAGACTCAGCTGCTGCCCCAAACGCCACCCCCTGAGTATCTGTTACTCACTGACTCCCTTCCAGGGTCCTCTGATGTCGATATTATCGCTGTCCCCATTTTGCGGGTAGGCTCATGGGCAAATGGAGGTTAAGGCTCTGACCCAAGAGCACACAGCCAGGAAGTGGCAGAGGTAGGACTGGAACCCAGAACCATGGCTCTGCCACCATTCATACAGCACAGCGTAGGTGCAGTGGTCCTTGTACAGGCCTGTTGGAGCCCAGAACTTGCAGTTCCTGGATACTTTCACCTGCGTCCACTGCCCACCTGTCCGGGCCACTCCCGCGGCCCTGCCCCGTCCCACCCTCCCTCTGCCAACACAGGGGCAGGGGTTTATGACGGTGATAAGGCCCTGGCTGGGCGAAGTCCGCTCCACCCACACTTCCTCTTTGCCAGAGGGTCCAGGGAGGACACTGGGGAGGCTCCTGATGGCCTAGGGCGTGCCCTCCAAGAAGGCTTGAACCTGGGAGTCCCCGAAGACGGACCCCTCAGACCCTCCCTTGGCAGCCACTCCCTGCCCCTGCTGTATAAGAGCCGCCTGTCGCCTGCCACCCGCCACCAGTTCCCAGTCCTGCGACTTCTCCCAGCACAGCCACCAGCTCAGCCTCTGGAGATGGCCTTTGTCCCTGCGCCAGGCTACCAGCCCACCTACAACCCGGTGAGATGCCGGCCCCCGGTGCCCCCACACCACCCACCCTGTGAGCCCCCGGGGCAGCTCACTGTGTCTCCAGGGAACCCAGAGCCCCTCTTCCTCTGCACCCCAGCCCCTCAGCCTGAGGGTCCCTCCTCCCTGCCCCCACCTGGGGGCCCCTAGCGGCCATTCCGGGAGGGGTGCAGGCTGCAGCAGGCCCACGGCCTCTGAGGCCCTTCTCCCACCCCTTCTGCAGACGCTGCCCTACAAGCAGCCCATCCCGGGTGGGCTCAGCCTGGGGATGTCCGTTTACATCCAAGGAGTGGCCAGCGAGCACATGAACAGGTGAGGCCCTCGCCGCTTGGCCCTGCTGTGGGTGACTTCTCCCGGAGCTGAGGGCTCCGATCTGGAGCTGGGAGGTGACAGAGAGGTCACACCGTGGGGAGTGTGGTGGCCTGAACTCGGGCCCTGGGAGCACACCCCAGCTCCGCCGCCCTGCAGGGTTTCCCCGTCCTCTCCAAGAATGGGCACTGGTTGGGCCTCCCCGTCCAGAGTGAGAGCAGGGAAGAAGCTGTACTGTGGCTGAGCTGTATGTAGGGCCCTAACCTGGCGTCGATAGTGGACTTGACCTCCAAGGTCCTTGTTTCTTCATTGGTTGCACGCACACTCTGTGCCTGGGAGCTGAGGACGGGACAGGGGCCCCTGCTCTCAGCAGGCAGACAGACCATCATGGTGACAGTAAGCGTGACAACAGTGTACTAGAGGGTGATGGGAAATAAGGGGGGAGGGGGAGGGGATGACATCAGCCCTTTAAATAAGGTGGCCAGGAAAGGCCTTCATGGGACCGGAATATTTTTATTTATTATTTATTTGAAAGGCAGAGTGACAGAGAGAGAAAGAGACCTTTCACCTGCTGGTTCACTCCCCAAATGGCCCCAACTGCTGGGGCTGGGCCAGCTCAAAGCCGGGAGCCAGGAGCTCCATCCGGGTCTCCCATGTGGTGCAGGGACCCAAGCACTTGGGCCATGTTCCACTGTTTCCCAGGTGCATTAGCTGGGAGCTGGGCCAGAAGACCCCTGGAAAGGGAGATTTTAGCGAGGACCTGGAGGTGGTGAGGGAGGGGGCCCTGGGGACAGCTGAGGGGAGGGTGCTGGAGCAGAAGGGACAGCCAGTGCCAAGGCCCTGGGGCAGCTGTTGGAATAACTGCCCGGAGGCTGGTGTGGTGGGCGGTGTGGAACGGGCTCTGACTCGAGTGTTCACAGGGTCCCGGGCTGCAGGCAGGAAGGCGTGGGGCCAGGAGCTGACGGATGTCAAGTGCAGGGAGCAGGGCTAGAGCGGGGGTTACAGTAGCGAAGTCGGGAAGAGGTGGGGAGGTGATCCAGGAGGAAGGTGTGGTGAGCGAAGGTTCGACACTGCCCAGGTCACCCTCAGAGCTGCTCCTGGGGCGGGGTGGATCAGGGAGGACTTCCTGGAGGCAGCCCGGGGGGACCCAGCCTTCGTGTCCCATCAGGTTCTTCGTGAACTTCGTGGTGGGGCAGGACCCGGGGGCAGACATCGCCTTCCACTTCAATCCCCGCTTTGACGGCTGGGACAAGGTGGTGTTCAACTCGCAGCAGGGCGGCAAGTGGGGCAGCGAGGAGAGGAAGAGGAGCATGCCCTTCAGCAAGGGCGCCCCCTTCGAGCTGGTCTTCACCGTCCTGGCTGAGCACTACAAGGTGGGGCCGCCTCCGCCCTGCTGTGTCCTCCCCTGTCCTCCCCTCCTCTCTCACTCCTCCGTGTCTCTCCCCTCCGGCTAGGAGTCTTCCAACAGTCCCACGCGGCTGTGTCCCCTTGCCTGCTTGCAAACCCCTCCGGCCGCTGAATGTTTGCAAGAACTCTGAGCGCACCGAGAGCCCTGCCCCTCCGCACTGCCACGGCTCTCCCCTCAAGTTCATGGCCTCTCACCGGCACCTTGCAGGGCCCGCCTCCCATCATTTCAGAGCGCATCCCAGACGCGCTACCATTTCATCCTGAGATACTCCCACGATAGCCACCGATGCCAGCTGTTCCTTAGCATGGTCACGCGTGCCTTCCCACACCAGTGCCCTAGCGTCCACCCTTCCCTCCTGGCCCAGGTCCCAGGAAGGCCCTGCAGGGGGCCGGCTCAGAGCATGCTGCGTGTTTTGACATTGACCTGAGTGTGGCCACGTCCTCTTGTTCATTCCCCGAAATATCCACAAACAGCCAGGGCTGGGCCAGGCCAGAGCCCAGAGCCTGGAACTCCATCTGGGTCTCCCCCATGGGTGCAGGGGCCCAAGCACTTGGGCCATCTTCCACTGCTTTCCCAGGCGCATTAGCAAGGGGCTAGATCAGACGTGGAGCAGTTGGAACCCAAACCTGCTCTCCTATGGGATGCAGGCATCACCTCCTGCCCCGCCCCGTGGCCTTGCGCAATGGAGACAGGCCCTTGTCCTGCCTCTGGGAGCTGCTGGGAGAATCACATGGTAGCACCACGTATGGCATTTCGCACATGGCAAGTGCTTGGTCCTGCACGGCCGCTCCCAGCTGTTCCCCGTCACGTAGCGCTGTGAACAGAAACCATGGGTCCCTGCAGTGCTGGGGGCAGGTGAACAAGGCCGGGTGCTCCTCCAGCCCCCCTCCCCACCCCTCCTTCGCCGAGCCGTGCTGCCCTTCAGTCTTTCCTGCGGTCCCAGAGATGAGCAGCGGCCCATTCCACAGATGAATAAACAAAGGCTCAGAGCGGCGGGTGACCTGGGCTCACACTGCCAGGGCATGGCAGAGCTGGCCCTCAAACCCTAGTTCCCTGCCACCCTCCACCCCACACCACATCCCGAGATCTGTGAGCTGAACTTTGACCTCAGCTTGACCTCTGACCCTGGGCTCCAGGATCCCTGACTGCGAGGCTGTCTCAGCTCACACTAAAGACTTTTAACCCCAAGTCAGAAAGAGCCCTGTTGCTTGCTTCTGGCTTCTGGCTTCCCAAGATCAAGGTGACCTCCAAGCCCTGCTCTCCAGGTGGTGGTGAACGGAAGCCCCTTCTACGAGTTCAAGCACCGGCTGCCCCTGCAGATGGTCACCCACCTGCACGTGGACGGGGACCTGCGGCTGCAGTCCATCAACTTCCTCGGAGGCCAGCCCACCCCTCACCAGGTGTGTGGTGTGCCCGGCCCCCTCCCTCCCTCCCTTCCCCCGCGCCTGCTCTGTGCCATCCCTGTGCTGGCCAGGGCGGCCCACGGCCGAGACAAGCATCGCCAGACAGTGGCAGCTGCAAGGCTTTGTGGCTGTCATGGGAAAGACGTAGGCGGAGAGGCAGAGGCAGAGAAGTGGGGGCTGGGATGGGGGAAACAGGCCGAGGGGTGTTGGGGCAGGCAGGATGCTGAAGTGCGGGAGGTTTTGAGGGTCTGATGGAAGGGCTTGACCTGGTTGTGGGTTTGGGAGGGCTTCCTGGAGGAGGAGGCATGTAAACCAAGTCAGGATGTGAAGATAAGGTTAAAGGATTCACAGGCAGCAAACATTCAGGCGGTTGCTCAACCTCATGACTCACCTGGGAAACTCAGCACCGCGCAGCGCCACTGCACACCCACCCGTGTGCAGAACGGAAGCCAAAGGCGCCCGGTGCCGATGGCCGGCACGCGCCGGGGAAGCTGACACCACTGTCCGTGGCCCCGGGGCGTGCGTGTGGGCGCGTGTCTGTGACGGCCCCAGTGCCCAGACACCGCTCCCAGGTACACAGCAGACAAAAAAGCCACTGACACACCCCCCCGGGCACACCCCCAGCAGCACCGTGTACAAACGCCCCCAGCAGACTGCACACTACCCACAGGGTCCGCGGCAGGGGAGGGGTCCCTGGAAGGCACCCTGGCCTCCTTCCTGGCCAAGGCACCTGGTGCAAAAACTCGGCATGGATTTCAAAACTCCTGCCGCGAAAGAACCTTCTGTCTTTATTTTTTTTTAAATTTTTTTAATTAATTAATTTTTTTTGACAGGCAGAGTTAGACAGTGAGAGAGAGAGAGAGAGAGAGAGAGAAAGAGAGAGAGAAAGGTCTTCCTTCCGTTGGTTCACCCCCCAAATGGCCGCTACAGCCGGCATGCTGAGCCGATCCAAAGCCAGGAGCCAGGTGCTTCCTCCTGGTCTCCCATGCGGGTGCAGGGCCCAAGCACTTGGGCCATCCTCCACTGCCTTCCCGGGCCACAGCAGAGAGCTGGACTGGAAGAGGAGCAACCGGGACAGAATCCGGCGCCCCAACCAGGACTAGAACCTGGGGTGCTGGTGCCACAGGCAGAGGATTAGCCAAGGGAGCCGCGGTGCCGGCCAGAAGTTTATGTCTTAACATTTTCTTCCCATGGCCCGTCTGGAGCCCCCGCGCACACCGGCTATGGCCTCACAACTCAGCTCTCCCCAGGAGCCCGATGTCCTGGTCACGGGCCCATTTCACATATGCAGGAATTGAGGCACGGAGAGCTCAGGGTCACGGAGCTGGTGAGAAGCAGGGGCTCTGTGCCCTCACTCTTCTACCTTCGTGGCTGGGAAACCCCAGATGTGTCCAAACCGACACTGCGGGAACTCTGCACAGTTCACGGCAGGGTGGGAGTAAAAGAAGGGTTTGTTTTAGTGGGGAAAAAAATCAAACTCCATGGCTCATTTTCTTCATAAGACACATTTTCCATGACTTTTTTTTTAAAAAAAGATTTATTTATTTATTTATTTATTTATTTGAAAAAGTTACAGAGAGGCAGAAGCACAGAGAGAGTGAACGAGAGAGAGAGATAGAGGTCTTCCATTCGCTGGTTCACTCTCCAGTTGGCCGCTGATCCGAAGCCAGGAGCCAGGAGCTTCTTCCGGGTCTCCCACATGGGTGCAGGGGCCCAAGCACTTGAGCCATCTTTTGCTGCTTTCCCAGGCCATAGCAGAGAGCTGGATCGGAAGTGGAGCAGCAGGGACTCGAATGGGTGCCCATGTGGGATGCCGGCACTGCAGGTGGCAGCTTTACCTGCTATGCCACAGCGCCGGCCCCTCCATGACATTTTTTAAGGCCCTACACAAAGCTATTTTTTGTTTGTTTGTTTCTTTAGTTCTCAAATCAATGTCATTTTTAAGAATTATTCTTGGCCAGTGCTGCAGCTCAATGGGCTAATCCTCCGCCTGCGGCACCGGCACACTGGATTCTAGTCCTGGTCGGGGCGCCGGATTCTGTCCCAGTCGCTCCTCTTCCAGGCCAGCTCTCTGCTGTGGCCAGGGAGTGCAGTGGAGGATGGCCCAAGTGCTTGGGCCCTGCACCCCATGGGAGACCAGGAGAAGCACCTGGCTCCTGCCATCGGATCAGCGCGGTGCGCTGGCCACAGCAGCCATTGTGGGGTGAACCAATGGAAAAGGAAGACCTTTCTCTCTGTCTCTCTCACTGTCCACTCTGCTTGTCAAAAAAAAAAATTATTCTTTATTTTCATTTTATTTGAAAGAGAGACAGAGACAGATCTTCCATGTACTGGTTCACTTCCCAAATACCTGCAAGAGGGACCTCGGTACTTGAGCCGCCATCTGCTGCCTCCCAGGTGCGCAGTGAGAGGAGGCTGGATTGGAAGTGCAGGAGCCAGTACCGGCAGCAGGCACTGCAGTATGGGATACGGCTTCCCAAATGGCATTGCCAAACGCCTGGCCATGGCAGCAGAGGTCATGGCGGAAAGGAGCTAATTAGGAAGAGGAGAAAAGGCGCCGAGGTTGTGGTGCAGCAGGTTGAGTCCTGGCTTTTGACGCCGGCGTCCTGTATCAGAGTGCTGGTGCTCGCCCTAGCTGCTCTGCTTCTGCCCCTGCTCCCTGCCAACGCGCCTGGGAAAAGCAGCAGAAGATGGCTCCGTGCTTGGGCCCCTGCCACCCCCGGGGGAGGCCTGGCTGGAGTTCCAGGCTCCTGGCTTGGGCCTGGCCCAGCCCTGGCTGTTGAAGCCATTTGAGGAGCGACTCGGCAGATGGAAGATCTCACGCTCTCGCTCTCAAATAAATAAATCATTCAAAGAAATCAATTTTTATTGAAAGAAGGAGGATAAAAGAGAAGGAGATGGAGAGAGAGGGTAAAAGTTAGGAAGGCCAGGGGACAGGGTTGCAGGCAGAAGGAAGCCCCTGTGAGGAGGCGGGAGAGAGACAGATGGAGACAGATCCTGGGGAGACCAGGCCCTTGGTCGCACGCCTGGGATGATGCCAAGAAACCTGTAGTTGCGGGGGCAGTGAGGGGTGAGGTCCAGGGGCCAGAACACTGCCGAGGGAAGACACGGACGCCAGCGTGGACCTGGCATTGTCTCAGAGGGTTAGGGTGAGGTGCACCTGCTCTGACCATCCCTAACCGTGGTGAGTCCCTCTCCGGTACTGGTCACCTGGGCCAGCCTCAGGTGCACGGTGGGGAGGGGCTGTCCTAGACAGACACCCTGTCCCCGCCTCCTCACCACCTCCTCTCTCTCTGCCCACAGAGACCCACGATGACCCCGGGTTACCCTGTAAGTACCTGCCGTGGACGTTTGGCGGCCTGGGAGGTCCTGGGGAGGCGGGAGGGCCTGCAGCCGCTCAGCTCTGCCGCCCTCTGTCCACCCGCATAGAGTCCCGGATACGGCCATCCTGGTTATGGCGCACAGCCACTGCACAGCCTGCCGGTGAGTGGGAGGGCTGTGGGGCGGGGAGAGGGGCCGGAGCCCAGGGGCACCTGTATCCCATGGGTATACCGTGGTCACTTGTGGACTGTCCTTGACTAAGTCGCTTCTTCCTCACTTCACAGAGCATGGAGGGACCCCCGACCTTCAATCCGGTATGGCGTCCCGGGGGGGCGGGCTGTGTGGTGGGCGATTTGACGGGAAGCACCCAGAGGGTGCTGGGGAGGGGTTGGGGCTGGCGACCCCGGCAGGGATGGGGGGTGGCGGTCGTTTCCCATTTGGAGCGGGACCTCGCCCTGAGGCTGACTCCTGCCTCTGAGAGAGGAGGGGGCCCTTGTTCTCTTCCCACAGCCGGTGCCGTTCACGGGGAGACTGCAAGGGGGGCTCACAGCCAGAAGGACCATCATAGTCAAGGGCTACGTGCCCCCCACAGGCAAGAGGTGCAGAGCCCAGGTGGAGGAGGACCCCAGCCCTCCTCCCTCAGACCAGGATGCCAGGCCCTCCGTCCCTCCTCCCTCAAACCCTAGGGTCCAGATCCCAGCCCTCCTCCCTGGGGTCAGGCCCTCAGCCCTCCTCCCTTAGACCCTAGGGTCTAGACCCCAGCCCCTCCTCCCTGGAGTCTAGACCCCAGCCCTCCTCCCTGGGGTCCAGACCCCAGCCCTCCTCTCTGGGGTCCAGGGCCCCAGCCATCCTCCCTTAGACCCTAGAGTCCAGACCCCAGCCCTTGTCCCTGGGGTCCAGGCCCCAGCCCCTCCTCCCTTGGGGACCCAGGCCCTGGACCCTCCTGACTGCACCTCCCTCTCTGCCCCCAGCT